TGGGCATAGAGACATCCAGCACAAATGAGTGAATTCGTTATAGCATTCTGCAACCTCATCCACAACCCCAAGAAAAGGATTACCCTCCCTCCAAAAAAAACAATAAAACTGATCATGGGAGTGACATTCACATGTTAAGTGTTAAGAGTGCTAATACCTACTGGAGGAGAAAATGTGCTATAAATGACTGGGGTGTCTACAGAAGGCAATTCCATGACAGAATCCTTTTTGCCTTGGGTTGCATTGACTTGGATTTTTTACCTTGAATTGTCTGAGGCTTGCTGGCATTGTCAAAGTCACAGATTTTCTTCCAGTTAGCCTTGACTGCCTCAGGTGTCATTGGCTGATTCTTCTGTCTTACAATGGCTCCAAGGGTCCGCTCCCAGCGTACTGGTTCAAAAACAAAACTAAGAAACTGAGTACACAGTTTAAAAGAGAGATAGAAAGTAAAATTTATTTTAATTTCCCTTGAATTTTTTACTTCCAAGAAAAAGGAGATTCAGAAAAAAAAAAAAACTGCTCTCATGCGTTTTACTAGGAGTGTTTAAATGTATTTTTCCTAAAATAATAAACTCTTTCTTTTTTTTTTTTGCCCTTCCTGGTGCAGCAGGTTGAAGCACAGCACTGTGAAGCTCGTGGCAGCCACTTCAATGAGTTCGACCCCCAGCCTCGGAGGTGACCCACAATGGCACAGCAGACTGTTCCTGACCTGCCCGCTGTTCCTCTGAGCAACGTACTTTGTCGATCTGTCTGTTCTGCTCCCCACTCTGTCTCTGGTGAATTCTCTCACCGCTCCTGCACTTCTGGCCTGTGTCTCAGTTCTATATGCATAAATAAGTAAATCTTTTTTTTTTCCTCCCAAATATTTGGAGCTTAAGGGGAAAAAACTCGCTATCAGACTATGCCACACAATACTAAAGGTAAAACAGAGTGCTAGATCAGACAAAGTGAAACTGTACAGGATCATAATCAAGACCAACTTTATACCAGCATAGCTGGGTCACATACTTCAATATAACAGAAAAGAGTTTTGTTGGACAGTAAGCCAAGGACTTGTGAAAAGGTTAACATTTGGGACAACCAAAAATCAGTCTTCCTTCTCTTCCCTTTGCTCTTCCTCCTTTTCCACAGGAAATCATTAGAATGACAAATTCACAAAAATCATTATTGCCACGGACGTTCTGTGAGGAGAATTCTAAGAACTTTCAAAAAGCCAGAATAAATAACTACTGCTAACTTATTAAACATTAACTGTCAGAGCCTGATTGTTAAAACTTCAGCTTTGTCTTGGGGAAATGAAACAAATGTCTGATTATTCTATAGAGTTTTCCTAATGATAAAGTACAGATTCACTGTAAAACTTGATCTTCCTTTCTTAAATAGATGTTACAAGACACTCAAAGATGTCTGAACAATAACTTAATAACTGGAGGAACAATTGCTAATAATGAAAATATTGACAGCCTACAGTAAGTTTAAATAATACCCTTCAGGAATGGCATGCTTTTAAATAATTCATTTAAAAATCCACAGCCAACTGAAAACTTGAATTGGGATATTAGAACTGTCACAATTATTTTTTTAAATGCCATAAAGCAATTATATGCTTATCACACATACAGATTGAAGCCAAAAGAATTTACGAGGGGGTAAATCATTTCCATAGATAAGCTATAATTTCTGACCCTAACAGTTGTCCAAGGTGATTCCTCATGTTCTCACTCTAAGATTTGTCTCACACTCCAAGGGAGAAAATAATTTGGACAACTTGCCTGCTGTACCATTTATGATAGATTTCTCCCCACCTTTTCAACAAAAGCCCTCCCTTCTACTTACTTCTCTGCTGATACAGCAAAAAATAAGTACATGGGAGAAACAGACAGGACAAATGTCAAGAGATAGCACAGACCCTGTGCTATCTGGAAAAGTAGTCAGTTCTAAAGAACATAGAACAAGGTCTAGATGAGGGCTGTCAACAGGCGGAAAATTGAACAGGTTCTTGAAACTGCCACAGGCGTGCAAAGCAAATGCAATGTTTTCCGAATACTTAAAGGTACACTGATGTATGAACCTGAGTATGTGCATACTAAATCCAGTCTTATGCATCACAAGACCTTTATCTAGTTCTATCTGGATGTGCAGGCTTAAAAATATGAAAACAGGCCCCCCCCACCCCCGGTGGTGCAGTGTATTAAAGCATAGCACTAAGAAGCTAAAGCCACTTCAGCATAAATTCAATCCCTTCCCCGGAGGTGATCCACATGGCACAGCAGACCTCTCCTGACCTGCCCGCTACTCCCCTCAGCAGTATACCTCATCATTCTGCCTGTTCTGCTCCCCACTCTGTCTCTGGTGAATCCTCTCACCGCCCCACACCTCTGGCATACACCTAGTTCTGTATGCATAAGCAAATAAATCTTTAAAAAATAATAAAAAAATTAATATATGAAAATAATATATGGCAAGTGAAAAACTGAGACAGACTTACATTTTCCAATCCATCCTGCTCCAACCTATGAAAGAAAAAGGAAAAAGATTATATCACCTAATGTGAAAACACTAATAGAATTTTTTTAATTAAAAAATAGGTAACTACCTAAGAGCATTAGAATGCAAAATGAAAATGCCTAAAATAAAATACAGCTCTATGACATTCCACAGACTCTCCCACCACCCACCATTACTTTAAAATAATCACATTATCAAAAGAGAAACATAAAGCAGAACAACATAGTAGAAACACTTGTAGTAGAAAAACTTAATCTCTTATGTCAGAAACCAAGGTTGATAGAAGTATATACTATACTAATCCTTTCATAAAATCCTGGTTAATTACTAGACTTCTCCAAAGTCAAGTTTCCTATTGTGTAAATTAAGGGTAATAATACACATTTCATGAGGTAACTAAGAAGGTTAAATACTATAAGTAAGTATAACTGCCCAGCACATCACAGGCTCAAAATACATGTCCCTCTTTCATATAGAAATACGGCCATTGACCAAATAAATACAGTAACTCTACTCAGAAAGATCAATTATTTTCTAAATGTCATTCAAGGCACAGAAGAACACATCCAATACAAATATCTTCCTGTCCTATCTTCAGACAGTACATTAAAGTATGCCAGAACTTATCAAGAGAATTGCACATGCATGACAAGAAAATGTACCAAAAGCACACCTCTCAGTGTCTCTAAGCTCACCACTGCCTTTAGTTAACATGCTCACATTTCATAATGGGCTAATCAGCTTACTTTTCTCAAAAAAAAAAAAAAAGGATATCAGGCAACAATTAATGTTTATCATGTAAACATAATAAAATACACACATGTCAACTGATACAGGTTAAGCAATTTGAAAATACTAATTTTTAAACCACAATTTAACATTTTATTATACAAATATTTCCTTAGAAGAGAGCAGGAAAGTGCAGGATACCTCAAACAAACCACCATTCTCATCACAACTCTCGTGGCAAAGCCAAAGAACCAGAGGTGCCACATAGTCTGGCTTCAGAGCTTCCAGAAGATCTGAAATAAACAATGTATAAGCAAGAATATATGAGAATATCAATCATTTTATTTTCTGAAATACCTGTATAAGCAATGTATAAGCAAGAATATAAGAGAATATCAATCATTTTATTTTCTGAAATACCTTCCTTAGACACTTACAGGTAATTCAGAGTTTCTTAAAAACAAAATTAAAATTAGATAACACTAACTTGCCTAATTTGCAATACTTTAAGAAGAAATTTTTCATCCAAATGGACATGTTCCTAAAGGTATCTCAAGTTTCTTTAAATTGAGGGCATCAGATATACTTTTTCCAAGACATATCACATAGTATTCAGAAGGAAATGAGAACTGCCTAGACAAAAAATGGTGAGCAATGATATATATATAAAATTCATATATATATATATA